AGCTCACAACTTGCCCATCAGTGTTTTGTATAAAACACCCTGGGTTTCGTGATTGCCCGTGTCCCGCCGGGTGCTTCTTCTGCCCTTCTGCCTCCTGGTGCGATTTCCTGACCCTTTACCTGCCATGTGGCTTGTTTTCCTACATGAAGGGGAAAGGGGTCCATGGATGGGTATGTGCCGCTGTGAGCAGGTCGTGTTTGGATGCAGTGTGTGGCAGACAGGCATCTTCTGAGCAAAAACAGCGCCAGGGCTTGGGTTGTGCTTGAGCGTGATGCGCTTTTGGGGGTACGGGAAGAGCAAAGGCACCACTTCCATCAAAATGTGATGGTCCCTTGTTCTCGGTCCCTGTCCTGGAAAGGAGAAGCTGCTGCTAAAATAAAAATAACTTATTTCTCCTTCCCCCAGCTCTGGAGCAATTCTTAATTTGTGTTTGAACCCAGCAGGGTCAGTTCTGCATCTCTAGAGCCAGTAGCACCCATGGGCTGCAGTTTGGAGCCCATCTTGCCTGACCTCTGAGCAGCACAACCAGGTCAGCCAGGTTTGCTTTTATATAAATTCATCCAGGGGCTAAATTTTGCCCATGAAACCCCTTCTAAGGCTCTTGGGGGAATGAAACCCAGCAGTGCCTGAACCTTCCTTGAAGGGAGACTTGTGAGTGCTTCCAAAAGCCACGTTGCTCCTACCTGTCTCCTGGGAAAGACCCAAAGCACCATTCCTGCCCAAAGCCACAGCTGCCCCACACCAGGGGCCAGAGCAAGGCACAGAAATGCTGCAGTGAGCAGAGCGAGGATAATCCATCCTCCAAGGCTGAGCAAGGGCTTTCCTGTAAGTCACAGCATAGACAGGTTAAGTCCTGGCGTTCCTGACTGCTTTGGGGCAAGGTGCTTACTTTGGTGGAGGAATTTGTACACCGGGTAGGGGAGATCCTGCTGGGCTGTGACAGTCAGTGCCTTCGACTCTGTCTCTCTGTGTCCCCAGGCTGCTTTCCTGCTCTCTGCCCTTTCAGGGTCCGTGTTTCTGAGCCTACATGTGAGCAGGGGCTCTTCACAGCACCATGATTTCAGCAGCAAGGGCTCCTTGCCCCAGCTCCCCCCATCCACCGGCTCCCCCAGCGCTGCTGATCCTGCCTTCTGCAAGGGTCTGAGTGTTGGGCAGGCTCCAAATGACCAAAGCCTTGGCTTACATTTAATATTGATAATTTAATAAATGGGAAGTGGGATTGGATTGCTGCTTCTCAGGGGGCTGAATCCTCAATGAACAAGGGCTGCTCAGCACAAACATGTGCAGGAGATGCGTACAGGGAGCTGGAGATGCAGGCTCTGGCAGCAAGGCTGCTCCTGGGCACTTGGCTCCCATCAGCAAGGCTTGTCCCTGAACAGTTGAACAGTTCCTACAAAATGCCAAGTGGTTTGGAGCCCTGGCACATGGAGGAGGAGCTCCGTGCCTTGACTTTGGACTATAGTTGTGTGTTAAAGTCTCTGCTTCTGGCATCTCTGCAGCCTTGGCCTGGTCCAGGCTGCTGATGGGTCAAAAGTGCTGCGAGTTTTTTGTGGTAAAGTCCCTTCCAGGCCAGGGAGGGGACAGGCAGTGACAGGTCCAGGTCGTGGCTCCCTCGAGGGAGGGAGAGAGTCATAATGGAGTTAACTGCAAGTGGTCGTTATTCCCAATGGAGGGTCCCACATACACCTCTTCTTACTACTGGGATGAGAAACGTGCTCTGCAGACAGAGCTGGGGTCTCCTGTCGCCATCCTGGTGTTGGCAGGTACATGACATCCTCTCTGTGCCCTGGCAGGCTCTGCGGCCTTCCTGGGGCTGTACCTCGTGTTTGGCTACGGTGCTTCGCTGCTCTGCAACCTCATTGGCTTCGCCTACCCTGCATACGTCTCGTAAGTACCAGTCTGGAGAGCTTTCCCTGCCCTTAGCTGAGGGTCTCCCTGATAAATGAACAGGCATTTATAGCTGGGAAGCTCTTGAGACCTTCCTGAAAATGCTGGGAGCTGGCATGAGCCCAGCTTGGGGCAGCAACATCCACTAGGCAGGTTTGCTCCAGGGTTCAGAGGGTATGGGAAGGAAGTGCCCACCCTGGCAGCAGGACGGCAGCAGCAGTGCCCTTTCCCTCTCCTGCCACAGCATCAAAGCCATCGAGAGCTCCAGCAAGGAGGATGACACCACGTGGCTGACGTACTGGGTGGTGTATGGCACCTTCAGCGTAGCTGAGTTCTTCTCTGACATCTTCCTCTACTGGTTCCCCTTCTACTATGCTGGGAAGGTACCGTGGGCTGCTGGGGCCAGAGTCCTCTCACCCAATGGCTAAACTTGGAGAAACCAAGCGTGGTGGGCTCTGTCCCATTGGCAGGACAGTGGTGGTGGCTGTGGTGGGGTCACAGTGGCGCTGCAGCCCAGCACAGAGCTCTCTGCAGTCAGCTGAGGTCCTGGCACCTCCAATGAGCTCCAGCCTTGGGCAACTGCCTTTGGTCCAGGCCGGGGGGAACTGGAGCAGCTCAGCTGCTGGCCTGCCCCTGTTGCCATCCTTGGGGGCTGCCTTGCTCAGCCCCTGCCCTGCCATCATGCAGCTCCAGAGCGTCTCCCCTCCCCACAGTGCCTGTTCCTGCTGTGGTGCATGGCCCCCGTGCCCTGGAATGGGTCGCAGGTGCTCTACCAGAATGTCATCCGGCCCTGGTTCCTCAGGCATCACCAGACCGTGGATAGTGTGCTGGGCACCCTCAGCACCAAAGCCCTGGACGCAGCCTCCCACATAGCCAGAGAAGGTAACATGGGTCTGACACCCTGTTCCGTGTCTGGGGCAGGCGATTTCCCCCAGAGCACAGCCCAGCTCCTCTGGGATGTGAGCAGCTCTTGTTTGCATGGCTGGCAAGCAGCCACCCCTCCGTGCCGATGGGCTCGCAGCCCGGTCCCCCCGTGGCGGCAGGAGCCGAGCAGGGGTTGAGGTCTCCCCTCTGGGTAATTCTCTCTCTTCTCTTCGTGCCTCATGGTCCAGTCCTGCAGACTCTGATCAGCAGCAGAGCCCGGCTGGCAGCCGAGGTGGCACCACAGCTCAGCTTGCCTGTATGTAAAGAGCCG